CATGAATGAAGTTCAAACTGATATCAATATGTTTTGACCTTTCATGACAAACTGGATTTTTAGCCAAGTCCAGTGCACTTTCACTATCACAACAAATGATAGGTCTTTGAACATTCAAACCCAAATTATCAATAAGGCCATGCAACCATATTCCTTCTTTAATTCCCTCTGCCAAGGACAAGTACTCTGCTTCAGTGGTAGACTAGGCAACGGTGGATTGCAAAGTTCCCTTCTAACTAAGAATACATCCAAATAGAGTAAAGATATAACATGTCAATGATCTACTCCTTATAAGATCCTTGCCAGATTCGAAATCGCCAACCAATCGATCACCAAACTTATTAGCACCATAAGTTAAACAGATATTGCTCGTTCCCCTCAAATATCGCATAACCCATTTGACTGCATCCTAGTGAGCTCTTCCAGGATTACTCATAAACCTACTTACCACATTAACTACGTGAGCCAAGTCAGGCCTAGTACATATCATAGCATACATCATACTTTTAATCGCGTTAGAATAAGGAACTGTACTCATGTACTCCTTCTCCTCATCTAAACTAGGTATCATACTACCATCAAACTTGAAATGTTTTGCCAACGGAGTACTTAACGGCTTGGATTTATCCATATGAAAAGTCTGCAACACTTTTTCAATATTTTTCTCTTGAGATACATAAAGTATTCCTGCATTTCTATCTCTCTACGGCTCCATGCCTAAGATATTCTTAGTTGCACCCAAATCCTTCATCTCAAACTCACTGCTCAACAATGTTTTCAGATTGTGAATCTCTTCCTTGTTTTTAGCTGCAATCAACATGTCATCCACGTATAACAACAAATATATATAGAAATAATTCACAAGTTTCTTTGAGTAGACACAACTGTCAAATTAATTTCGTATGAAATCATGGCTAATCATGAATGCATTAAACATCTTGTACCATTGCCTAGGTGACTGCTTCAAACCGTACAAGGACTTCTTCAGCAAACATGAATAATCCTTCTTATCATTATCAAGAAATCCATCTGGCTACCACATATAAATCTGGTCTTCTAGATTTCCATGTAAGAATGCAGTTTTGACAACCAATTGCTTCAACTCCAGGTCTAACTTGCTTACCATGGTTAGCAGAATCTGAATGGTTTTATGCTTCACTACATGTGAGAATGCCTCATGGTAGTCTATTCCCTTTCTGGGAAACACCTTTTTCCACAAGCTTTGCCTTAAACCTAGTTGGTTCAACTCCAGAAACGCCTTCCTTCTTCTTATACACCCATTTGCATCTTATTGGTTTGACACCTTTCGGTAGAGGTACTAGTTCCTAGGTTTGATTTTTTGCAACCGAGTGCATCTCTTCATTTGTTGCAACCAATGATTCCGTTGCACTACTCTCAACTACTTCCTTATATGATCTTGGTTCATCAGAATCAATATTTTCCCCTACAACTAAGGCATATGCAACAGAGTTAGTATCACAACTACTAACTTAATCAGCATACCTTGCAAGCTTTCTAATTTCCCTTTTTCCTTTCCTTGTTACTATAGTGTCATCTACTTCTTTAGTTTTCTTGAGCTGCTCTACAGAGTTTGTTGTAGTCATTTTTGGGACTTTTAACCTTAAACTCCACCTTCTGGGTAGCACCCTGATCATTGTTCTCTGCATGAATACCAAGCTCCTTCCTATGGTCATATAAACCTAAGGTCATATAAACCAGTCTCATCAAATTTGACATCCCTGCTCATGATAAATTTTGAAATTCTATCCGGTTCAGTACACCACAATCTGTAACCTTTAACTCCAATTGTATACCCTAGAAATATGCACTTCATTGCCTTCTGCTCAAGTTTACCCTCATTCACATGAGCATAAGCAGGACAACCAAATATACACAGGCCAGAATAACAAGAGGGTTCCCCGGACCATGCCTCTTGAGGAGTCTTCAAATCAATTGCAGTTGATGGAGATCTATTCACCAGACAACAAGCACTATTAACCGCTTTAGCCTAAAACTGTTTTGACAAGCCAGCATTCAACTGCATGCATCGAGCACGCAGCAGATATGTTTGATTCATCCATTCTGCAACCTCATTTTGCTGTGGTGTATGACATACAGTGTGGTGCCTCACTATACCTTCTTTCTTGCAGAACTCATTAAACGATGAATTACAAATTCTAACCCATTGTCTATTCTGAGTGTATTGATTCGTTTTCCAATCCATTTTTCAACCATAATCTTTCACTCCTTGAGCTTCCAAAACACCTCGTCATTGAATTTCAGGAAATACACCCAAACTTTTCTCGAGTAGTCATCCACGAATATGACAAAGTACTTACATCTATCCTGAGACTCAACCGGAGAAGGACCCCATAAATAAAATGAACATACTAAAGAATCCCCTTGGATGTATGTTTTACCAAAACTGAACCTAACTCTACGTTGCTTTCCTAACTCTAACAGTTTATTTTTCTCCCTCCAATGCTGCTGAACACTTTTGCTAATCCAAAAAGCTTTCATCTTCACCTTCCAAAAAGAAAAATCGTTCGAACCATTGAATTTTCTAAAATATGGGATGTCGTCATCTTCTCAATCAACTAGCAGAAAAAATAAACCCATGTACCAAGGACAAAATTTAAATTTTGAATACAAATTCCAAAACGTTCAAATTTTGAGCTAATCAACTCTGATGCCAATTGTTTGGCTAACTGACAACAGTTATGGAAAATAAACATTAAACGAGAAACAAATCAAACACGATTTATGTGGTTCAAACAAATTGACCTACATCCACATACAAGAACAGAGATATTTTATCGACTTGCAGAATTGTTTTAGAAGAGAGTACAGAAAAGATTACATAATGCTATGTCTACCCCTTTGTATTTATAGACCCAAGGATAGGTAAATTTCAAAAGTAATAGGGAACCAAACCTAATACCTAGTAGAATAGGAAAACCCCTAAACCTAAATATATTTAGGAAACATGCCTAAAACCAATCCCCAATAGGAATTCAAACATAATTTAACAATCACTAATCTTGCGGCCAGGAACAAAAGCAGTTTGAGAACTGCACCAATTTATCCAACACAATCGTCATCACATAATTAGGAATGATTTTTGAAATGGTCATACTCCCCCTTTCCATAATTATTGTCCAGTTTGGGTTTTTTATTTTTAGTTCAAATTGTACTAAAAGTGAAATCTCAAACTGGACAATAATTTTGGGAGCATACATTACAACATGAAATAGGATGAAAATCACCACGTTTAGGCATCTCAACTTTAGGTACTAGAAAAATTAAGGTATAATCTCCTTCACTAGCTTAGTCTGGAAACGAATTGCTTTAGTTACCTAATCACCTACAACAGGCCATGCTTATTGTCATCTCGAATGTGAGTTTTTCTGGTGCCAGCTTAATAACTAACATTGTAAATGATACACAACCAGTTGTTCCAGTATTTTAGTGATGCCATATGTTTCAGTTCTCTTTGCTCATATTTGTCGCTTAGTGAATCCTACATCATAGAAGTAAATAGAATAATTGACTCCCCATTTTATTACCCAAAAAAACAAAAAAAATATAGAATAATTGAACGAAGATAGCCTATTTTTTGTTGATTATAGAGTCATGTGTGGATTAGAGTTGAGCGGTTGGATAATGCACTAATGTTGGATGCCCTTTCTTATGATGAAATGAAAATGAATTATCGCCACAATATAAAGTTTGATTGTTTGTGATGAGATTAGTGAGTCAATTACATGAAATCACATTTCCTTTTGCATTTCTTTCGTTCTTCTCTGGCTGGACCACTGGTTACGAAAAAATAGTTCTTACATTTGGCTCTGTATTGTGAATAAATATCTACAAGATGGCGATATTTGACTTAAATGTTTCAGTAATAACCAAACATTGAAAGCCTCACGGGCAAAATTTGCAGTTTTCTCCCTTTTTCTGTAAAAGTTGCACTACTCCAGTCTTTAAATTGCTTTCTTGAATTATGGAGTCTTTTATCTGCATGTTGATAATTTGTCGCATTTTTGTCATCAAGTTTTAAACTTTTTTATCCTCAACTTCATAAATTTGGACAGGATTTTAACTTTAAGCTGATACAGAAACTCCGCATTCTCTTTTTGTAGTTGAAGAAGGATGAATTGATTGCGAAAGATAGTATTCAAGCATTTTTGAACCTGAGGCTGTCCTTTGACTAGACTGAGGTTCTTCGGGACAATTCAGATTTGCCTAAACCGCAATTAGATCTTGAAGACTTGAAGATCTTGTCTGCAGATGATCTTGTCATTCATGAACTGGTCCTCACACAGTTTTACTTCTGAATTCTGAGGCAGAATTCACCCTATCTCGGAAATACAATTACAATATATGTTCATTCAGAATATTCATTCTCTGAGTTCCCAAAACCCCCCCCCCCTGCGGGTAGTTTGTGTTTCTTTTTACTGCATCTACAAATAGACAATTTCCTGGAAAAATAAAGAAGAAAAAAGACTGAAAAGAAACGTTGAAGAAATCCAACTTTTTTTGTCCCAACAGTCAGCGTGATCGTCGGTTGATTAGTGAAAGTACATGGATTTCACTACAGATTAGAAAGTACTTATTGATTGATGTCAGACAAAGTATAATAAGGTAATTAGCAATTCAATTGTTCAAGAAAGTTTACTAGGTTAACCATGTTAACCATGCATTTTCTAAATTGTTCATTAAAGTCTTAAGCACCCTTTATTGGAAAACAGAAAGTAAGGGAACGAAACAGTTGGAACCTTTGATCTTAGTGATCTATATTTAAAGCGAAAGAGGCTCTTTTTAGGACAACTTGGAAAGAACTTACGGCTTTCTAAAGTGGATTTGAACGGTGAACATGTTAAATGCAGAAGTATTGATCCAATTGTGGCATAATCTCACCTTCTACTTTTGGAACATTAGAGAAAGCCCTACTTTTGATCCAAAGGATTAAACATGGCATCACTGAATTTGCGATCAAGGTTAGTTCAAATATATCTGCGTTGTTGATTCTTTGTCCAATTAATTCCAGTTAGACAAATCATCATCAAGAGTTCATAACTTCAGCTACATGTTTCCACTTTAGTGTCTCATAAAATGGTCAAGCAAGGGAGAACAATAAACATATCCAGAAACCAAGAGGCAAGGAGTGCCAGCGCTTTTCACGAGTAAAAAATTACTGAACTAATAAAATATTACCATTGACATGAGGGTTGAGGATTATCAGAAATAACAATGAATTAAATCTTCACTTACCACATCATTTACAAATCTACTTCTTACTGCTAAACCTAGAGTTTTAATCAAGAAGAGCCCCCATGCCGATTGAGCAGGACAGACCGGTAAAGGGCAGCAACATGCAAGAAGCACATGAACATAATGAGGAAATCATCCAGGAGACCAATTAGACCCATCACACCTTTGATTTAAAAGGATAAATGAAAATTGCAAATGCCCAGAAACTGCCAAAAGAAATATACAACAATCAGAAGTAAGTAGCAATGCCGTACCTTCTGGTATAATATCTATCGGACTCAGAACATATATAGCACTCAGAAACGCCTGCACGAAAAAAAAAAAAGAAAAAAAAAAAAAGACTGTAAAGAACTTTTCCAATAAAGAGGAAAAGAGGATGTACTTTCAGCCATTCTTTCAAGCAGGAAATAATCTTTTATCTGTTCAATTGATTTGGTGTACAGGAACAATCTACTTAACTGCCAAATAGACACGCGCCCTGATGACCAATGGAATAGATCTTTGGGGATCCATGATATCTCGCAACAACCTCCTAAGAAGAAATGGTAGGTCTTGAACTCTCTGCCAAAACACGGAAACTCTGTTAATTTAAAACCTTAGCTATTTATCACCATCATGCAGAGTGAAACTGGTGCCCTTAAGATAACAAAGTAGTATTATAGATATAATCGTTTAATTGGACAGAAGAGGAGGAAAATTGCAAATAAGAGTCCAACTGCAGTAGTCACATTTGCATATAGGCTCTACTTATCAACATCAACATCAACATACCCTAACTACAAGCAATAGTGGATACGTTTTCATTTCAACTTATGAAAGCAACTGATAAGAAAAATCTTTGGTAAAGGTTCAATCTAATTCAACTGAAATACTTCATGTTGCCCAGGATAAACTCTAAGTAATATGGCTCTATCCTATGTATATTGAACCAAGAGCCCAACCCCACCCACAAAAACTAGGAAGGGTTGCTCATTTATATCATTACAAAAAGAGACCTCCTAATCCCTCAGGAGCTGGATGACTATTGCAGACAGATCAAAGCATTCACTTGTAGAATAGCAGCCTAGGCACATGATACACTACATCAATTAGCTCCATGAAAGTAATACTCTTCACAATGTAATACTTGTCAAATCAACTTACCCCAAGAATTTCCTTTTTTTCGTTTTTAAATGAGAATTACACAAATAGTTGTGCTTAAAAGAAGAAACATCCTAAATGGAGAGGAGATATGAAATTACAATGCAAGGAGAAAAGGAAGGGAAAAGAAAAACAACTCCAGTTGTATATGAAATCACAAAAAAAAACAGATTAAACAGGCACATACAGATACCAGTACATGACAAATTAACCTCGACAAGGGAAAATGCTTCATTTTACAAAAATTAAGCTCGACAAACCACAAAAAGTGAGCTCTTCGTATCCATACTCAATTGGCACAAGAGAGAAGTATCAAGAAATTTGTCACGTATCAGTAAATTAGCATCACTGGTGTTCTTAGACTCATCTTTTAATCCAAGTTTCTAGAAAAAGATCAACAGAACTATTATATTCTTGTGTATGATGTCTATTCTTTATTGTAGACATCTGAAGGTGAATTGTACAGGTTCCTTAAAGCTAATAACAATCATCCTTTGCATACTATAATACTGTCTCAACAATGTATGTACATTTTCAAAGCCACAGATTCCAGTAACAAAAGGGAACATCATATAATATCTAAAGCATACAGATCAAATCTAGTTTTTCTTTCGTTTGTGTTTTGCCCTTAAACTTTCACATGGAGCTATTAATTATATTCGTAAAATTAAACGTTAGCGACCAAATGTAAAAGAAGAAACAAAAATGGTTTCCAGCATAAGTTGACAAAAGATACTAATGTCAATGGGAGGTATGTTTGATTGTTTGCTCGACTCTTATGAACCCACTTAGATAGTTATTGTGAGACTTGATCAGCAGTAAAAATTATAGAGACAAAATGCAACTAACCTATACTGATATCATGTGATTTTCAGAAAGAACAATGGTCAAGGTAGCATTTTTAGCAACTATATTGTAGCCAAAGAAATGCAAGCAGGGTTTATCTTCAAGAAACATATTATCAAATGCCAAACAAGAACATGAGACAGAACGGAACGGTTCACCCTACTGTAAAAAGAATTGCCTATGAGAAAAGTGATTAGGGAAAATTATAAGGAACAGATTTCTCAACTGAAAACTATCAAATTTATTCAGTCGCACGCACACACACGACGTGCAAAGATAACCAGATACCTGCACAAGGCCCTCTGATCGTTCCCCAAATACACGGTTGTATGACTGAATCCTCTGCAGAATCTCAGAAACCTCAGCATTATCCAGCTGCCTGGATGTTGACTCACTTGGAATCAACAAAGTAATAGGACGGCGACATAAAGGACATTTGCATGGCTGGAGAGCTGGTCCGTGATTCCATACTTGTAATATGCAGTTGGCTGGAGTAAGAATACATCAATTTTAAACATCAAATATTATAAGCCTGACCTTGAGAGGCATTACAAGCAAAGTGCAAAAGAATGGATTCACTCGCGTTATACACATCATGAACTTAGGGGCACCTGGTTCAAATTCTTCATTAGTAAATGGTGCCACCAATGCAAAGCAATCGAATACCAATATAATAGAAATCTAAACAACAGCGGGTTTGCAGTAACATTTCAATTTTCAAGATGACCCGGTAATGGAAACCTAAATTGTTATCCAAATCACACTAAACTAATAATACTCTACGAACGAGCTTATCATGAAAACAGATGTGCAAATCCCAGATCAAACGAATGAGCTTACAAGAACTAAGTAATAAAAATTAAAAGGGAAAAAAAAAGAAACGAAGAAAATTTCATCAGAAAACCCGATATTCGCCCAATAACTTTTGTGAAAACGAGAAGGATGGTGGGACTTACAGCAATACCAGTGAGAACAATTAGCTTGGGAAGGAAGATGAAAGTTTGCGTGACATATTGAACAGAAATCGTTCTCCGGTGGTCCGTCCATCACAGAGTTTTTCCCTCGGTTTTGTGCCTTCCATATTAAGAAAATAAGGAAGAGGATCTGGATTTCAGATTTTGTTTCATTTTAATGCCGTGATATCGGAATGGAAAACTACCCCAAGAAGAAACATCAGTAATTAAACATAAATAGATGTGGTCAACTGTACAAATTCATTCATATTGGAGTTGTGCAAATTGTTTTCAAACCATTAAGTTTAGAAGGTTTGTCTTAATTGGAATAATGAGATGCTAGAAATCTTAATTGGAAACAATTTTTAATAGGAATAATTTAGTCCAGTCTTGCACATGAACCCGTATATTTTAATGTGTATCTCATTATCATTAAGTAATGTCAAGATACTTCATGCATTAATATACATTAAATGTTAAGACTCATGATTATAATTATATTCCTCAATCAAAATTAATATGTATATATTATAGAAATTATTATAAACCTTTGATGACTTTAAATCTTAATTTTAAATTAATTGATAAAAAGATAAATGAAACGGTATGAATTGAAACTAATTTTAGTAAATAAAAAATTACAACTAGAAAGACCGTTAAATGAGATGAAATACCTATTCCGGACCAATAGATTATATAAAAAACTGGTAATATCCATTCACAGACCAATACAAAATTTGATCTTATAGAACAAACTCTTGAAGGACGTGTGTATATACAAATGAGGAATAATCCATTCATATTGAATAATAACTGATCTTATAGGTCTGGGTTGCCTTGGTCATATTCCACTGATTTTATTTCACCTCTAATAGAGGATAAAGATTTCATTCATTGTCGTGGTTCTACTTCATTTAGTGACCATCTTTATCGTGTTTCTACTTCTCAGGCAAGTGAACGTGATGAGAATAATTATCATGTTAAAAAATTGGCAAAAAATAAAAACAATATAGTTAAAGGTATTTATAATACAAAAGACGAACTAATAACTGAGTCGGAAATGGTATTTTCGATATGAATAAAATAGATTTCAGTCCACGTTCTTTGGCTAGACAACAAGTCAAAGAAGAGTTCAATTTTCCAACATGTGAACCATTCAGAAAGTGGTTTTTCCCGAATTTTTTTTTAGAAGCACAAAAATTAATTTCTGATATCACATCATAATATTTTATTTTCTTTTGTTCCATAGTTTGTATCAAATTACGTGGAGCCTCATATATGTGTGTTAGAAAGAGATTATAAACTCTTGAATAGAAATACAATAAAAGGAGTATTTCCTCCTCAAAAACCTTTTAAGATAGAAAAAGAAAATAAAATTTTGAATTTTTCTGCATTTTTATTATTTGAAAATAACACTTTGACTATAACTGTCAAACAAATCAATAGAATTATAGAACAGAATAATTATACTAGCATTTATTTGAATATTTTAGGAGAACAAATCATATCTATACATGATAGGCTAGACAAACTATTAAATTTGATAGAAACAAGTGGGCCTACTAGTTCTACTAGTTCCATTAGTTCTAATAGTTTAATGATAGAAGTTGTTGCTACTCCAACTCTTCAACCACCTACTGAAATAAAAGATTTCAAATTAAAATCTTTATCATAATTAGAAAAATTAATAGATACTAAATTCAAAGATTTAAAAATTAATACTTTAGAAGATGAATTTTCAGAAAGATTAGAAGAGACTAAGGATTATAAAAGAATCATAGATGATGAGATTAATAAATTAAATAAGTTTGCTGATAGACCTACTCAAAGGTTGCGTGCTTTGGCCAAAAATATTTAAAATAATTTATGTGGACTAAAAAAAATACTTTTTTTTGTGGACATTAGTAGTTGTCCCGGATTTGACAAATCCGAGAGCTTAATTAAATAAGCTTTCGAATTTTCTAAATCCGAAACATTTAAATATAATAAAAAATTATTTATTTCCTTTATTTCGAAAAATACGGAAAATAGGGTCAAAAGGCGAAGAGTAACCTCGGATTTGGAAAATTCAAAAGCCTTTAAATTTAATATTCAAAAAATGCAACAAAAATGGCCGGCAAATTCAAAAATTGAAACAGTGAACTCGGATTTGCCGAATCCGAGTTCTAGGGTTTAGGGTTTAGGTATAGGGTTACCTCTCAGATTTGCCAAATCCGAGGGCATCCTTTCGGTTTAGGGGCAATTCGTCCTTGTGGATAAGGTTGTTGGATGTATTAAATCGGATCAGATAAGGTGACGGACATTCGGATTTGCCAAATCCGAGAGCCCCACATGAATAGTGACTCTCGGATTTACGAAATCCGAAAGATATGTGATATAAAAAGAAAAAGTTACAACTTCTATTCATATCAGGTTTTTCAACTTATGAGGGTTACTAGAAGGTTGTGGCCGGAGTTCTTCAGACTTTTGGACGAACATTACTGTTAAATGCAACAAGAATCGTGATTCTAACGAGGTTAGTCATTAAATCAATGTTTTTTAGTTGTATTGTTGTTTATTTATATTGTTTGAAGATGAAAGATTGTTAGGACTTAGGTTTGATGATTATGAATGTAATATGGTAATGTAGATGTTGTTGTTGAGTTTATAGGTGAGGATTGTTGTTATTTTAAAAATTGATTGAGGTTAATTTAATGAATTTGGATGGATTTTCTTTGTATGGAAATTTGATAGGTTTAGGAATTATGATTTTGATTATGTTGAATTATGATTAACAGGCTAATAATGATTAAAATGTCTGCGCACGAACCATACATACTCAATTTGTTTCATAGAAGCAAGTATGTGATAGAGAATGGTGTCATAAATACATTTGAGAACAAGCCAGATGACACTCTTGTTATTGATAGTAGGTTGTCGTATGATGAGTTGCTTGATATGATTTGTGTGGCATTCGGTTGCGATTTTGAAATAGCTAGGAAACTCCACATTTGATTAATCTTTGTGACTCAACGTGTAAGGCTCGCCATGAAGATAAAGAATGACTCACATGTTGGGATTATCAACCACCTCGAGCCAATGACAAGTGTGGATTTATACATAGACACGGAGGATATCACTTAACAAGAAGATGGGAACAATCATTATGGTGGATCTTTCTTTGCACAAGATGATCACATGGATGAGGGTGAACAAGATAACAAGCAAGTTCTTCACGGGTTCATGAAGACTATGGTAGAAGTTTATTTGCACAAGATGATCACATGGATGAGAACGACTCCGACTAGGTAGCTCCAAGCAAAAGCTGGGAAGCACGCGATCCCTCTTCAAATAGTGAAGATGAAGAATTGGTGAATGAAGAAAGGGAACAAAATCCATTTCCTCAGCGCCATGAATATAAGGAAATGGGTGAATGGAATGCCTCTAGTGTTTACAAGGATGATCTTGGTATAAAAATGTGGAACGAGACTCCCGAAGGGATGGGCATTAAAGTTTGTTTCAAGTCCCAGGGAGAAGCGAAACATACCGTGAAGTTGTGGAACATCCACAATAAAGGGGAGTTAAAGGTTATCGCGAGTAACCCTTCAACGTGGGTGGTTCGATGTAGGACATTAGATTCCCCTCCCCTCCCCCAAGATGGCGAACCTATATACAAAAGGAGGATCCGCGTGTCACTATGAAAGCATGGGTTGCATCAAATAGTAAAATGGCAGTCCGCACACAATTGCATGAGGATGGTTAACAATAATGACAACTGTTGTGTGGACTCGGTGTTTATTTCTAGACTAATCATGAGAAAAGTTGCGAACAACGTAGATTACATGATAAAATCGGTGCAAAAATATGTGAAGGAGTTGGTAAAAGTTGATGTCCCCTACAAAAGGGCGTGGAACCGAAGGAGGAAAGCCATAAAGGCGGTTTATGGCAATTGGTCCTCCAATTTTGAAGATCTTCCTAGGTAAATTTTAATTTTAATAAATGTCAATTAATTTGTTTTAGTTTTTACTTGTATAGGCATATATTATCTCGGGCAAACTTGATGTGTAGTTATATTGAAGCACTTAAGAGTACTAATCCCAAATCTGTAGTGGAATGGGAACGGAAGGAGGGAGAAGAAGGTTGGAATATCGGAAGTAGGACTTTTAAATACGTGTTTTGGTCATTTGCACCAGTGACTGCGACTTTTCTTGATTGTCCGCCGGTGATTTCTGTTGATGGAACACACCAACGTGGGGGATACAAGGGTAAGTTGTTAGTTGATGTAGTGTATATTGCAAACTAACACATTTTACCGGTTGCATTCGCCGTGGTTGATGGAAAGACCAGTAAAAGTTGGGTATTTTTCATGAAACATTTGAGGCATCATGTTGTGGGTGACACTAAAGTTAGTGTGATTTCCGGCCAGAAAGTTGGGCTTTTGAGGGCAATATTGGAAATACATGAATGGAGCAATTTAGATGATGGGGCCCACATGTATAGCCTCTGCCACGTTCGGAGCAATCTAGTGTCAAAGTATAGGAGTACGAGAGTGAAGCGGTTATGCCAAAATATGGGGAAGACGCTTAATTTGGAAAAATTCAAGCGATTGAGGTTAGAGCTCTGCGAATTCAAACCTAAAGCATGGGAGTATCTTCGTGACTGGGGGTGTAATTGGACTCGTTTGAAAGCCGGACGTCATCGTTGGGGCATCACAACTACCAACATATCCGAGAGTTACAACAATGCCCTAAAAGGGATCCGGTTTTTACCCACTAGAGCTATGATCGATGCTACATTCCACAAAACCGTGAAATTTTACCAAGCCGAATTGTTATTGGTGACGAGTTGTGATACTCCCATGCCCCTCGAGCTATGGAAAGTCTACAAAGATAAGAACAACAATGCCGCCACCTATGATGCTGAACCGTTTGATGGCGACGATGATAGTTGGGAGGTGGTAACTCCGACATAGCCTAGTGGAAGGGGTGGGACGGTGTATACGGTCACCTATACCTCCAAAAGGTGTTCGTGCAAGAAATGGCAAGAGTACCGGATGCCGTGTACGCACGCACTTGTCCTCGCACGTAAAAAAGGTGATTCGGCATGTTTCTCTTTCCCATAAGTGTTGGAGGCGTCAAACATGGATCAAACAATTCGAATACAATGGTTTTTTGCTGGTGCTCGATGAGCGACAATGGCCTATGGTTGACTGGGAACTCTATCCGAATTATGAGAAAATCGTGTAAAATGGCGG